CAAATAAGGCCTTATATAGGAGGTTCTGTCCGGGGTTCTGTACGGCCGTTGCCATTTGAGGCGGTTCCCGGAGGAATTTTTTTATGAAATTTTTTCAGCATCTTATTCATTAAGTCTAGTTTACTCATACCAAATTTCAGCTAAAACTTCAATCGGGAAGGCATTCAAATAAATTCTTGAAGATAACTGCGCTTTTAACTGTGCAGTTATCTTCAAGAATTCATTTGAATGCCTTCCCGATTGAAGTTTTAGTTCAAATTTGGTATGAGTAAACTAGACTTAATAATAAGATGCTCAAAAAGTTTCATCAAAAAATTCAACCGGAAACCGCCCCAAATAGCGTCGGCCGGACAGAGCGTCCTATATAAGGCCTTATTTGACCTCTTTATGTAAGTTCGAGGCCCTATCTGACTCTTTTCCCTATTTTTGTATTACTGGGCACTAATGCGGCAATACTAATGTGACAGCAGTGTTCATGACAATAATTATTCTTATTTAGGGAAAATGTAGTGCTATGCAACACCACACCTAGCTACCTCCAGAAATAGTAGCACTGTAGCATCAGCCATCATCCATGTACTGGAAGTCTGGAATTCCTAGTAATCCTTAATTCTACCATTCCTAATAGAACCAACACTATTTAATTTCAGTTAAATTAAAGCTATGTAAATGAAAATATGACATAGTTTACAGTATTTTTCAAATGTTAACTGACCTCTATTGCAACTTCGACAAACTCAACGTCTAATTGCACAGCCAGTCTAAGAATTTGCAAGCATCTACTCTTCCAGTCACCTCCTCCGCATGAAGTCTTGGGCCTGCCATAATTATAAGCGAAGTATATGCTTATACTTGTACAAACAAGCTCTTTATTGGTTTTCTATTCAATATTCATCCTTATGTGCAAGTGTGCATTAAAGTAGGAAAATATTCAGCTCAAAAATTGTAATTCTTCGGCCTCTTTCATTTGAGGTGCTTTCATCTTGAATTTTGTGATACACTTTTGTAAGCATGTTATTCATGAAGTATAAGCTATGCTCACCAAATTTCAGATTAAATTTCAATCGAAAAGCAGATTAAATAATTTTTTTCAAAATTGTGCAGGTTTTTATATACGGAGTATATAAAATGCAGTTTTTTCCAATAATTTATTTAACTAACTTCACGATTGAATTTTATTATGAAACTTGGTGGACATAATCTACAATTCATGGAAAACATGCTAACAAAATTTCATCAAAAAATTCGACCCGGAAGTACCTCAAATGAAAGAGGTCTAAGAATTACAATTCTTAGGCCTACCTTACTTGAATTATCCCATTAAAGTATATGTATATGGGCATATATATATATAGGGAGCGGTTCCAATGAGAACCACGCATAACGTGAGAACGTGAGAACCATGCACCTTTATCATAACTTGATGCACGATGAGGCTTATTTATTACACTTTTTAAACTTTGGTAAAAATATGCCAACATCAAATAAATGAGGTGGCTGATTCCTAAATATTTTAACAACATCAAAATGTGCAAGGTATAAACGATATAGTGCATCAGATTTGCTATAAAGTGGAGTTCTCACGTTCTCACGTTAAACATGGTTCTCATATATATATATATATATATATATATATATATATATATATATATATATATATATATATATATATATATATATATATATATATATATATATATATAGGTTTTGGTTCAAATAAGAACATGATCTTATGAGAAAAATGAGAATGAATCTGGACCGTTAGGTTTGCTTTATGTGAAATTCAATGTGCATTAGATAAAGCTATAATGTGTATTAGGTGAAATTGAAATGTGCAGCACAAATGGTACAATGTAGTGGCATTATGTGAAGCTAAATTGTGCATTAGGTGGATTTGAAATGTGCACTAAATGAAACTTAAATGTGCAGAACAAAAGGTACGATGTGATGTTATTTTAGTACCTTTTATTCTACACATCTCAGTTTCACCTAATGCACATGTGAGTTTAAATTTTTATTATGCACATTTCAATATCATCTAATGCACATTTCGGTTTCATCAAATGCACAATTCAGTTCCACATAATTCAATCCAACGGTTCAGATTCGTTCTCATTTTTCTCCTAAGATGCGTTCTTACCGGAACCGCTCCCTATATATATATATATATATATATATATATATATAGAGAGAGAGAGAGAGAGAGAGAGAGAGAGAGAGAGAGAGATGAATGATCAGGTCCATCCGGAGGGACGGGAAGTGCCGTCCGAACTTTACTGTTTGGGGTGGTTCCCGGTGGAATTTTTTGATGAAATTTTTTGAGCATGTTCCTCATCAAGTCTAGTTTATCCATACCAAATTTCAGCTCAAAATTCGATCGGGAAGGCATTCAAATAATTTCTTGAAACTTACTGCACATTATATGTGCGCAGAATGTGCAGTATGTTTCAAGAATTTATTTGAATGCCTTCCCGGTTGAATTTTGAGCTGAAATTTGGTATGGACAAACTAGACTTGATGAGGAACATGCTCAAAAAATTTAATCAAAAAATTCCACCGGGAACCACCCCAAACAGTAAAGTTCGGACGGTCCCTCCCGTCCCTCCGGAGGGACATGATCTTTTCTGTATATATATATATATATATATATATATATATATATATATATATATATATATATATATATATATATATATATATATATATATATATATATATAGGTTTTGGTTCAAATAAGAACATGATCTTATGAGAAAAATGAGAACGAATATGGACCGTTAGATTTGCTTTATGTGAAATTCAATGTGCATTAGATGAAGCTGCAATGTGTATTAGGTGAAATTGAAATGTGCAGCACAAAAGGTACGATGTAGTGGCATTATGTGAAGTTAAATTGTGCCTTAGTTGAAATTGAAATGTGCACTAGATGAAACTAAAATGTGCAAAATAAAAGGTACGATGTAATGTTATTTTTGTATGTTTTATTCTGCACATTTCAGTTTCACCTAATGCACATGTGAGTTTAAATTTTTATTCTGCACATTTCAATATCATCTAATGCACATTTCGGTTTCATCAAATGCACAATTCAGTTCCACATAAATTAATCCAACGGTTCAGATTCGTTCTCATTTTTCTCCTAAGATCCGTTCTTACCGGAACCGCTCCCTAATATATATATATATATATATATATATATATATATATATAGAATAAAGATCAAATAAGAACATTGCTTAACGTGAGAACGTGAGAACACCACTTTTTCCCCAACGTGTTGCACAATGAAGCTTGTATATTGCACATTTTCACATTTTAATAGTATTTACAAAAATGCCACCGTGTTTATTTATTATACTCTTATTTCGACCAAATTGAAAATGTGCAACAGAATAGCTCCATTGTGCACCACATTGATTTAAATGTGATTTATATATATATATATATATATATATATATATAGGGTGCGGTTCCAGTGAGAACGATGCTTAACGTGAGAACGTGAGAACAAATCCTGGTTGTTAATTAAGAGAATCAAACGGTTAATTACGTGGTTGGTGCACGATTAATTCGTGCATTGCGATACACACAAATGCATTTGGAAAACTAACATTACGGTATGTGGCTTGCATAAAGGGTGAAATTGTCAATATTTTAGCAATCCTTTAATGTAGGAACGGTTAGAGGTTATCCACTACCTAGAAATTAGGAAAAAATAAAAGGTCAAATCATATAAAATATATATTTTAGTTCAAAAATTGATTTAACTTTTTAAATCATAATCTGATTTTAACAAAAACTATATCAAATTAAATAATTTTTTATAACCTTTCATATGACACCAATATGTCATATATAATTTTCTTTTAAAAAAATGGTATAATATGTATACAATAAACCACTAGAAACATCTTCATATATCGCATGCACAAGAATATGTATCAAACACACAATCAGTAATATCTAATGCACAAGAACCGGTATCTAACACACAATACGTATAAGAAAAATTAAAACAAGTATCTTAAACACAAAATCCAATATATAATGCACAAAGAACAGTATCTGACATACAACAATTAAAAACTAATTAATATCTAAAACATAAGGATTTCACACAATTTAAACTAATATATAACACACAAGAAACAATATCTAATGCACAAGAAATATTAGTGATTAGGTACATAACTAACGCACAAGAGCGGTTATCTAACACACAAGAGCACGAAAAGTAAAAACTAAGTAATATCATAACAAGTATGTCATGCACAAGAACCGATATCTAACACATAAACAGAAACATGTAATGCTAATGAACAGATATTTAACACACGGCTCATTTATGTAATGCACATGAACTTGTATATATCTCACATTTTGTATATGTCAATTGTGCATTACTGAATGTGTGTTATGCATATTAGAATAAGTGTACATTAGAATAATTTGTGCATCACTATATGTTAGTTGTGCACTATAGTCAATTGTATAAAAATATTATTTAGAGTTTTTGAGAAAATGGTCTTTGAAAATACAATAGTGCACAAAAGTACTTTACTTTAAAAAAAATCATTATTAAAATGAAGACATGGCTCCCCACGTTGAAAATGTCAAACAAAAATAATGGAATGCACTAAGAATATTTCCTTTCCTAAAATGAAGCATACGTATTAATTGAAATGACGGTTACAAAACTGTCAAAATGATTTATACGAAAATGCCCTTTCATACTTATTCGATCATCTCAATACATTGTATAATTTGAATGGTTCAGATTTGTTCTCACGTTCTCACGTTAAGACTCGTTCTCATTTGAACCAAAATCTATATATATATATATATATATATATATATATATATATATATATATATATATATATATACCCTTTGCTATATATATATATATATATATATATATATATATATATATATATATATATATATATATATATATATATATATATATATATATATATATACCCTAATACCCTTAAAGAGTTAAAGTCTTAAAAGGTGCAAGTATACCTCGATGTTCCCATAACGGAGCAAATTAGCTCTTATTGACAATAAATAAACAAAATAACTTCAAAAAACACCAAAAACAGATTATGTATCGAATTTGGAAATTGAAAATTTAAAAAAATGTGCCTAATATTCCATTTTATACTTCAACTTTCACCAATTACGCTCTGAAAGTAAATAAATTTTTTCAAATTCGATATTTTGCAAGTAGTTGGTTGGTTTTTTGTTTAACCGAACCGAATTGTATCAAATCGAACTAAATCAAATCGGAACTTATGCAATTTGTTTGAGCTTGCTAGTATTTCTTCCAAACCGTATTAAATCAAATCGAAACCAAGAAAAAACAAATAAAACCAAATAAAAGTAAAGAAATTCAATAAAATATTCATGTTATTAAAAATAAAATATAAAATCGAACCGAGGCGAAAATAGTATGATTTTTGTTTGGTAATAATTCTTTTAATCTATTCTAAACCGAGCCCAAAACTGATATGTCCGCCACTAATGGAGACCCACACTATTTTTTTCCTTTTCTTTTTTGTTTTCATTTTGTTCTATAAGTACCATATTAATTGATAAAAAAAAGTACCATTTTAACAATCATTCTTGTTGTACTCACCCATATACTCATCTTATACTCATTATGTCTGAGAAGTTTTTTTTGTCTCTGAATTTGGTTCACAGACAAAATATGTCTTATTTTGTCAATGCAAAATTTGCAGACATATTTTGTTTGTGAACGGGATTCACAGATAAAAAAGCCTTGCACAAATATGACGGATATAAAAGTGGGTATAAGAGTGAGTACATACAACATTTTTGCCATATTAAATGGTCATATGGAACGTATTTTTATTTCTAGGTGGCAACAGACATGTCTGAATAATAATTCAATAATGTTGTTGAATATTTCAATTTTCAACTGTGGTCTCCTCCGTGAATTATTCAACTACCATGTTCTTATAATGTTAACACCAAGAACTATATTGTAACGAATTGCGCGACTTGGGGTTGAAGCGCATAAATGTTTAATGGAATTTGCTAGTTTGCTGCATTGCTAACAGAACAAACAACTAGATTTCAATATTTGATGTAAGGGATTACAAATGTCATTTTCCCTTGATATAAATCAACCAACATCGTTCCACTAGATCGTCTCTACATTCATTTTTTTTATTTATCGCAATTATTTACTACTTCGATATTAAAATACTCCGTAATTAATTTGAAGTCCTACCATGTTAGAATGTTGTTGAGTACTTTACCTTTTGTTCCGGATTAACATATTTGTCATTTGTTTACCAAAAAAACATATTTTTTATTTAAAATATCTACACACTTTTTTTTTTTACTTTTTTCGTTTTTAAATTTCAAACTACCTTTCAAGGAGATGATGGCTTCACTATGGAGGCCGGGGAGGGGCGTGGAGATCAAGGAAATCGATGACAAGAGGTATATTTTTGCTTTTAATCACCCAATTGATATGAAACGTGTGCTTGATGGGGGTCCATGGCAGTTTGAGAGGAATTTACTGATTGTGAAAGAAATTAAACCTACTGATATTCCGCATAAGATCTGCCTGAATGAGGCAGAATTTTGTGTGCGCATTCATAATGTTCCTCACTGCTTATTAAATCTAGGCACTGCAAGAAGAGTGGGTAATTTTCTGGGTAGGTTCATTAGCTATGATAAGAATCAGCTTGGTGAAAAGTGGAAATCCTACCTGCGTGTCAGGGTTTGCATTAATGTGGAAAATCCTTTGAACAAAGGAACAACTCTGAAAAAAGAAGGTATTGGGTATTGGGTGGATTTTCAATATGAGAAGTTGCCAAATTTTTGCTTTATTTGTGGCGTTATTGGTCACTCGGAAAAATCCTGTCCGCCAGTGTATGAGGAAGGGTTAGTCTTGGAAAAAATGCTTGATGTGTCGCTTAGGGCAGGTAGTGGGATGAAGACTAGCCCAACAGGAAAGAATAAATGGCTAGTTGGAGAAGGCTCAAACTCGGGCAGGAATTCGCATTATTGGGAGAATCAGGGGTCTAACGGAGGAGCGAAGGGTGAGAAGGAAGATACGGCGGTCTTGCGTAGCAGCTCTTCCAAGTAAGTGGTTCTGAAACATAATGAGAAATCCATAGGGGAACAGAAGCGCAATCGAATCTGGGAGGCAGGGGAAGCACAACACTGAGGGGGGATGAGATGACACTGGACGGAACAAAAAATGAAGAGGAGACGGGCTTAGAGGGGCAAGCTTGTTTGCGGTTGGGATGCGGAAGGGGGGTTCAGAGTGGTGCCTTCTGGTGTTCGTTGTAAGACTCAGTGATGATTTTTACTTTATTATTGTTATTTATTTAGATTGTTTAATGTTTTCTGGCTTGCTTCTTTTCTTTATTTCCAATTGTAAGACGATGGTTTTGAGTTTAGATGTGGGTGATGATCAAACTGCGATTATTGTCATTGGCTCAGTTGTGCCCATAAAAGGATCAACGAGTTATATTACCGAGGTGATTAACTCTGAGTCTAGTTCGTGGGACTGCGGTTTTCATAAGTTTTATTGTCGTTTTACCTACTCTTAGAATGGTTTGATATCAATGTAAGCCGCTTTCATCCAAAAAAAATTCATACTACCTTGTTTCCTAAAAAATCATACTACCTTGTCTTTTATTTTTACACTTTTCAAAAGTATTCGCTCTCTCCAGGTTAGAGCGAGAGTGAACCCTAGGTAAAAGCCGCCGCCGTCGCACCTGAGAGATGTTGTCCGTTTGAGCCGGCAGTTTGAGACGTGCGTAGGATATTAGCGACAAAACAGTGAACCCACTTGTTGCCGTCCTAGGGCTTTTGGCCGCTAGGGTCAATTTTCCGCTATCGACATAAGTCGAGGAGCGGCGTTTCCTTCTTCTTCGATTTGCGAAGCTCGGTGAGGAGGATTAGCGGGCGGCTGGAAGGAGTGATGCGGTTTATGCGTCCTAATCTTGCGGCTTTTTTGACAGACGAACGACAGAGGGAGGTCGGCTTTGGTGTGACAGACAGGGGCTAGACGAAGAGAGGGGACATATTCGATTGTGCACTGGTTGTGCAGGTTTTTGTTTTTTTTTCTTTAATTTGCAGATTGTGGTCAGTCATGGCTTGCTTGTCCATCGCTTCACGACTCAAATAGTTGAGGATTGACGTTTGGCAACGTGAAGGTATGAAAGGGAGTTTGATCGAGAATGAGCAGGATGAGGAAGAAGATGAAGTATTGTTGACCCGACCTCCTCCTGAACCGCAACCACTGAAGTGGAGGATGGTGGTGATCAGAAAGCTGGGACAAGACTTTTATTTTCTTGCTTTTGTTTATTTTAATTGTCTGGATCATGCTATTTACTTTTGTTTGTTTTTTGTTTTTGTTGTAAGACTGTGAATTTGGATATGGGTGATGGAAGGACTGTATTAACTGTCTTTGGTTTGTTTGTACCCATTAATGGATCAGCGAGTTATATTACTTTTGTCGAGGTGATAAACTCTGACTCTGGTTCGAGGGACGGCGATTTTCAAGAGTCTTTTGTCAGTTTACCTAGAATAATGTGTTATCAATTTAAGTTTATTTCTTCAAAACAATATTCACTCTCTCCATCTTTCCTTTCTTAAACATGCAAAAACTTTATGTCGCAACTATTTAAGTAGAGAGGGAATAAAATAATTCTTTATATTTTATTTTCACTTTGCACATAAATTTTACCTTGGTATTATACACAAACTTGGTAAACTTCCATACGATGTACGACACACACTTGGTGTAAATTGTTTTTTATCAGAGATGGTGATAAGAGAGTAGAGTTTCATTTGGAATCAGAAGCGAAATCTATCACTGTTCCTACCAAGTGTGCATAAAAAACTTTTATACAAACTTATACAAACTTTTATACCTTCCTATGTTTGTGAAAGTTTTATTTTGTATTAAGAGTGAAATCTATAATTGTTCCTACCAAATATGCATAAAAAACTCAAAAATAATGTATGTATCCATTCTTATACACTCTTTTATACCTTTTTTATGTTTGTGAAAGTTTTATTTTATTGGTGAATTCTGTTCACAATCAATACTTTGTTTTTGTTTGTGCAAAAACTTGAATATTCAAAATAAGACTATCTGTAAATTAGATTCAATAACAAAAAATGACATTCATAAACGTGGATACATCAAGTTAAAAAATATGAGTCCGTTAAGTATCACGAATCACGAGTTCTTGTCCGGAGGATTCTAGGCTGATGCTTTGCTCGCTCTATTATTGTTGTACTTTGTTTCTACCCCATACCCACGAGGCTGTTATGTCATACCTACCCACCTCCTTAATTTGCGAAATAGACATCCGACGACTCAATCATTATATTTCTGCCGCCAACGACAAATTCTCTCACACATTTTTTATGAATTTCCAAAATCTCTTTCAGGTTGAAAGTAACAAAAACAAAAGTTTAATTGCGCTAACAAAAACAAAATCTCTCACATATTAAGAAAATAAATTTAACTTTATTGTGGAGTGCATTGTTTTGCACTGTTTAAATACTGTTTGACACTGTTTGGACACTGTTTGGCACTGTTTGGCACTTTTTTGATGTAGATTATTTGCCAAATAAGAAAAGTTTTGAAGCATGAAGTTAATTTTGGGACGGCCCGAAAAGGAAAGTGAGGAGTTAATTTTGGGACGGAGGGAGTATATATCTTCCCACTTTCAAAGTAGGTGAGATTAAGAATAGTGAAATGTGTATGAATTATTGAAGATATGATGAGAAGATAGTAAAATAATGTGATGAAATGAATGATAAATCCAAAAAAAGTATGTATAATAGTGTATTGTTTTTTAAATTATTGAGGATATGATGGAAAGATTTAGAAACGGGAAGATATAAATGTTACATTCAAAAACGGAAAGTGAAAAGATATGAATGTTATGAAAAGGTTGACCAAATTTCCTTTTTTGAATGTCCCAAAAAGATTCGTCATTTCCATTTAAAGTAAAGAACAAACATGTGACTAAAGTTAATTCTCTCTTCTGCACAAATTTGAACCACACAATTTTTACTTTATTAATTTACGTGAAAGTCAATTTTAGTCAACCTTTTCAGGACGGAGGGAGTATTAAATACTCCGTACTAAAAAAGGCAAGTTGTCAAGCTGGACGAAATAGAATCACGCCCCAATTTCGGAGGCGGAGCCACCTATCAAACCGGATTATAGTGGTACAAAAGTATTTAAGAAAAGTTTTTACACAAAATAATTAATACAAAAAAATATAAACTTTTTTTTAAATTTGGGGTGAGTCGCCTCCCCTACTGCGCCCTGCCCAAATCTTATACTTAACTGGAAGTTTTGGTAGGTGTACACATTTTGTACGCTCCTTCCCAAAATGTGTACACTCCTTCCCAAAAAAATTGAGTACACATGAGTTTTCTGTGACAGAATTTTTTTTGGGAATGACAGACATGTGTACAAAATGTGTACACGAAGCATTTTTCCTTAAATGGAATGTGTGAAATCAGACTTTGATCGATTGAAAATGTATGATTCTGATGATTTTCCCACTATCTTTGATATGACCTACTACATGTTAGTTTTGTACAATTATTAATAAAATGATTGAAAAAAGTAAAAATTGTAATTGAGATTTGAATAAATAAAATGAAACGATTAGAATTACATAATTTTTAGAAAATGAAACGATTAGAATTGCATAATTTTTATAAAATGAAACGGGAGATTCATTTTAAGACAACCAACAACAACAATAATACGCAAGTCTTAGTCCCAGAAGATTTTGGAGTCGACTAACATTAATCGGACCATTATATCAAAATGAAACGGAGGGAGTAATTATGACGGCTAACATTTAAGAATTAAGGTATCAAAATAGATCAGAGAAAAGAAAAATGAAGAGAGGAGAAGAAATTAAAATAGAAAGCATGTGTATGTATATACCTGCAACAGACGATGGAAGGCAGAGTTCTTTGTCTAATGATATGGTCGACCTCAGATGGGTGTGAGGAGGTCAACGAGTCAACGCAGAGCTCAACCAGATCTGCCCCTTCTTCCTTGGCTTTGGTCATCTGAGCCAGCATATCCTCCTTGGTTTCGCATTCCAATGTTGTGTACACCAGAAGGTCACTTCTCTTCAGACCCATTTGTACTGCAATTCCAGGTGATAAGCAGAATGGGGTGGTGGAGTTGGAATTTGAGTTTAATTAATGGTAGCTAGCTAGGAGTACCGGCCATGTATTGGGGTGCTCACTTATATAAGTACGAACACACACGAAAGTGACAGTATACTTTGCCAAACTTTTATTAGGAGTATAACTTATAACAACAACGCACCCAATGAAATTATTCTCCCCTCCATGGCGCTCAATTCCAAATTGCATGCCTCTCAAGTAGGACCTTCTGTGTTATAGAGAACCTTTCAGTGTAAAGGTAATAGTGTCTAATTTAATTACTCCGTACTAAAGTAGGCTTCCTCCATATTTCACGTTTTATTTCACATTTATCAATGCACAATTTTGTTTATTAGTATATTTAATTTTTTGCTAATAAATTTAAAAAAAAAAACTAAATTTTGAAATTTAAAATGAGGAGTTTTGTTTAGTATTTTTTTAATCCAGGGGGAGTCTGGGAGAGGGGGCCTAGAGCAATGAGAGTTGAAACTCACTTCATTGAGTTTCGAACTCGAGACCTCCCGTAAGTGAGAGTGAGTCCGCGTCCAGCTGGGCTAGACCGCTGCCTCAAAAATAAGGAGTTTTCTTATCATATTTAAAAAATTAAATGTGATCAAAGTACAACACATGAATAGTGTAAATCTCACATATTGTAATTATTTATGAACAAATAAGGTATTATAAGTTTTGAGGTATACTTTTTCAAGAAGAGGCAATATTACAAATTCATAAGAACGTAGAGAAAATTTGAAATTATTCAAAAAGTCAATGACCCAGTCTAAAAATGGAGATCACTCCCTTAAAAAAATCAACGATGTATGCACTCTTATACCCACCTTATACCCATCATCAGGGACGGATCTAGGATTTCGAGTCAAGGGGGCGAAATTTTTTTCGTTAGTGTAGGGAGCGAAAAAATTTCGCTAGTTTAGAGGGACAATTTTTTTTTGCTAATGTAGCGGGGCAAATTTTTTCCTCTAGTATAGCGGAACAAATTTTTATCACTATTGTAGGGCTCTGTGACTAATTTTTATTCAAAAACAATCATTAGTACATATACGATAACATTTAAATCTATTACATTTTAAGTTTAGACAATGGAGAAATAACTTTAATTTTGTAATCATAAATGTTGTAGAAAAAATTATTGATACATTAAAACATAAGAAATTGCAAATCAAAGGAAATTTATTTGAAAATAAAAAAGGATATATAACATTTTGGCGAATTATTTGAAGGTAAAAAAATTAAAAGTACACATCAATCAATGCCTTTTAAATAACATATGCATTGTTTAACCACATGAATCTTACCAGAATAAAAAATTGGTTTTTGAATCGTGGTTAGTTTTTGTATGCCAAGGAGGATGTTTATGGGTCACGATCGAGGAGTATATTATGTAGGAGATTACTATTTTCGGAATGATATTATATGTAGTATTGTTAATTCATATATATGGTGCATATTATGTTTGTATTAATGCTAAAATACGTTAAAGTTTATTATTTATGCAATAAATTGCTTTTAAAAAGTAAGAAGTAAATGAATTGTATAGTTTAATGTCAACAAACATTTATATTTCGGATTCATTTTATATTATCTAAAACTATTTAACTAGTGTGACTGGTATTTAATATCATTTGATCTTTTACAAAATTTAGTACTAATTATCTAATAAGGATAATTAAATATTACAAAGCTATGAATTTTTATATAATAGGTATCATAAGTCTTTTTTTGATAGAAATGGGCTTAAATTGATAACATCTCATTCAGATAGTAGGTAAATCGACAACATGACTCCTGAAAACCGCCGTCCCTCGAACTAGACTCAGAGTTAATCGCCGCAGCAATATAACTTGTTGATCCATTAATGGGCACAAATGAGCCAAAGACGGTCAACACGGTCAAATCATCGCCCTCATCCAAAGATAAAGACATCGTCTTACAACCGTCAAAAAATAAACAAAAATAAACTGACAAAACGCAACAATTAAAATCAAAATAAATTACTTAGTATTTTAGATGTTACTTCTTTTAAATCACCAATTAAGTATTACACTATGTAAGACTATTTATTAACTTTGAAAACTAAAAGTTAAGAGGCGCGAAAACATATATATCTAATTAAAGTATGAAAATTTTATGAAAATACTACACATATAGTAGAAAATTTCTAAAGTCCAAAGGGGGTGGTCCCCCCCCCCCCCCCCCCCCGCGTCCCCCCTTAAATCCGTCTCTGCACACCATATTTGTGAAGTGTTTTTTTCTGTGAACCCGGTGATCCGAGGTTCACAGAAAAAAAAAACACTTCACAAACATAGGTGGGTATAGAAGTGAGTATAAGGATGGGGTTCAAACATCATTTTTGTAAAAAACAAATGGACCTTCTTCAAAAATAACAGTTTGATTTGTGCTTTGTTAGTGTACTACAAATCCGGAATATAAATTTAAGTTATACTCTGTATGTTTTACAACAGCTTTACAAAAAAAATGTGCTCCTGTCATCAGTGGCGGAGCCAGAGATTTTTCGAAAGCGGGGGGGGGGGGGGCGTACTGAAAACTAAAGATTCTTATGTATTTGTTCAAAATATAATAAAAATAATAAAAGTGCAATACATCATTACAAATTAATTCATTAAATACTGTTTGACACATATTGCTTGACTCATATCTATAATCTGGATAGATAAATCATACGAGTTTTAAATTGTTCAAAATGCAGTGTAATAGCTGAAGATATTAGACTTATTAGTAGAAATTTTGCTAATATTTCTTTCTCTTTTGTTAAACGGTCAACGAACATAGTGGCTCATGAGTTGGCTAGAACAACTAGTTCTATATCTGATTGTCAGTCTTGGTTGGGTATTCCACCTTCTTGTATTGTTGAAGCTTTGTCCTTTGATGTGATTAATGCGAATTGAGTTAATTTCCTTCAAAAAAAAAAAACTTCATGTTGGGAAAACACGATCCTCAGTCTTTTCCAGGATCACGAGCTCATAGACTCTTGTACACTTATATATTCGCACACCCATAATACAAAGATTCAATCTGACAATATCATTTTGTATTACTCCCACTCACTCTTTGTATCTGAGACTACTTCATTCTATCTAACTCGATCGCATACACTTTATCAAGCGATATCTTTGAGCCTTCTTTTCTCACAATAAGATTCTTACTCTCCTGTCTTAGGGAGACTCACTTTCAATCACTCAAGAGCTCTCTTCAAGGTTAACATAGAAACGGGAAGCTTCTCTATACTAATTTCATCAAAGCTCCTCTAAAAAATTTCATGCATCACTACATATCTAGATTCTTTCAAGA